TACGCACGGGTCCAATGACAGTTTAATTAACTTTTCCCCGGGACAAACTTCACCTTCACTGGTTGGGTTCTTCATTGGCGGTCAAGTTGTACACCTGGCTACACAGCACAGTCTTTTATTTTCTCTTAGAAGCGGACATCCCTGTTTTATTAATTCAATCGTTAGATATTACTATTATGTATAAAATTGATGAAGTAACTAGTAGTTGTAGTTGTTGCTTAGTTTCGAAGAAATATTCGATATTGTGATTTTATAAAAAAAACAGTTTTAGAAGCATATTTTCTAAAAAAATTACATTAAGGCAGAATTTTGTTAAATAAATTTACCTATCACTATAACGTCTACCTTTATGCAGAAATAAATGGTTATTGCTGCAGTAATTTAGGAATTATTTAATAATTTATGATTTTCAGAAAACATTTTTTTCTTCGTTACACTAGAAAATTGGCAGCTATATTTACTTTATATTGATGCATGATATAATTATCTATAATACCTGAAAATATTACTTGCCTATCCCGTGGAAGTTCGATGATACGACTAGAAAAATTTGTCAAAAGTAATATTGACTAAGGCCATCGGTCAAAACCACTATTAACTGAAATTTGCAGTCAAAAGTGGTTTTGATCGATTATGAGTTTTGACTGCAACATATATATCGATGTTTCGAAAACGATAGGATTTCCAATAAGCCGCCACAGGGCCAACTCTATAATTATCAAACTCGACCAGACAAATTAATAATGGTAAAAGCAATGAATTTCAATAGTTATCTAACAAAGGCATTAAAACCGTATTGTTACGGACGGCATTTAAAAAACTAAAAAATATTCAGATGACAACCCTATTTACATATAAATTTTCTAAACTCATAGAAATTAAAATATCTTCCAACTTCCACGGGATAGGCAAGTAATATTTTCAGGTATTATAGATAATTATACCATGCATCAATATAAAGTAAATATAGCTGCCAATTTTCTAGAACAACGGAGAAAAAAATGTTTTCTGAAAATCATAAATTATTAAATAATTCCTAAATTACTGCAGCAATAACCATTGATTTTTGCATAAAGGTAGACGTTATAGTGATAGGTAAATTTATTTACAAAATTCTGACTTAGTGTAATTTTTTTAGAAAATATGCTTCTAAAACTGTTTTTTTTTATAAAATTACAAAATCGAATATTTCTTCGAAACTAAACAAATACAACTACTAGTTCCTTCATCAATTTTATACATAATAGTAATATCTAACGATTGAATTAATAAAACAGGGATGTCCGCTTCTAAGCCAAAATAAAACACTGTGCACAGGGGTTGCTGTGATGGGAACGAGAGATGAGAATAGTCCCGTTAGCCTACGCACTATTCTTTCTTGGTTAATCCTAAGCATCCTACATTCCTGGGCACCCCACTCGCAGGTATTGTTCGCTGCGCGTGCGTCGGAAATGGAGCGCGACGCAGCATCAGCGGTCGCGCGCCGGTAGCCGCCCCGCCCCCTGCGCGAAAGGCGGTCACGTGACCTCGAGGAAACCTATCCAGCCTGACTCATAAGAATATTGGCTTCTTGGTCTTCCAAACAATAGACCGTAAGAATCCTGTAGGCTTAGGATGCGCGCCGCGATAAGCGGTTATCTTTCACCGGGACACCATGTATACAGCTCTATAGAGAGTTACTCACCTGGTGTCCGTTTGGTTGCGCAAAGCTGCATACATTTTGTTGGTAGCGGCGACTGCTTGCGCCAACATGGTGGTGTCCCGGTGAAATATAGCCCTAAGAATCCTGGCCTAGAATGCGCGCCACGATAAGTTATCACACCATTTTATCAATTTTTCTCATACATTTTGACGTCGAGTATATCACAGCGCGCATCCTAGCCCAGCTAGTGAGCTCTTAAAACAATATCTAGTAATTCAAGCCATCATCATTAGGTATGTACCATCTTAGACTGCATCTCATTTAACATCAGATGTGATTGCAATCAAATATGTACCTGCCATGTTCTGCTTAAAAACTCAAGCATAGAGAAAGAAGAATTAAATGAAGAAGATATCATGGAAGCTAGGTCTTCTTAAAATTCGTTGTCCAAAGCTTCTTTTATCGTGCTTTTAAAGCTATCACAATGCTGGTAAGATTATTTTGTCCAATACTGACAATGTCTCGAATGTAGGAATAATACTCGTATAAAAGGAAACTTTTTCAAACTTAGACATGATCAATGCTCAATCTCAATCTTTGAGAGCGGCTAGGTATAGTAATAAATAACCCTCCTTCTGGCGCAGTCGGGTAATAAGAAATATTTTTCAGGGTACCATTTAGTATTTCTTATATAAAATAATTATTAAAAAAATGTGATAAATGGCGGCGGATGCTCTTCCTGAAATTACTCGTTATGGTAGCTAGGTTCATAATACCTGCGAGTTTTTATTTATAGTCTTAATTTAGTTCATAATTAGTGTTAATTATTAGACCTTTAGGTATTTCATAACAGAGAATTTAATTTATACCTACGAGTAAGTCAGGTGAGTGTTAAGGAAACTTCAAGATATCTCTGAACATATAAACTTTTCCTTACTTATTATAGCAAAAAGGGGGTCAGCGGGCTATAAGTAAAGTTACTTTTATAATTTCAAGTCTGATAATGAGCCTATGAAGTGAAAATATGCGCGATGCACATTTAATCGAAGAGTGCCGGGTGAAATTAATTGAAAGCTAATTATAATGGACCCTGTATGTCAAGTACGTAATAAAAGTGTATTATTATTATTTGAGTTGAGCGGCTATTCTAGTTCAATAAAGTCCTAGTATCACTGCGACCGGTACCGATCTATTGTGATCGCCGCTATTTTCCTTACAGTTCGCCTCCGAGTCCTGCATCCATTAGGAATTGCAGTAGGTATATTTTTTGGGGGGCGATGCTAAAAGTGTAACAGAAAGGTAAGATAAAAGTTAAAGAAATCTTAAATGTTAATGTATTAAGTGAGATCTGTGATTAGTTGACTCCAGTCCAGTCAACTATAATTAACTTTTAAAAAAAATAAAACCGACTTCAAATGCGTGAACACAAAAAAAACTAAAAATTAAAAATATGTGTACGTTACTCCAGCTGGAAAGTAGCTCCTAGAGTGATATGAGTAGAACGTATAATTAGTTCCCAACATGGTGTAAATGTGCGCGCAATTAGAGATTAGTGCGTGCTGTCGTTTTGGTACAAAACGAAAAAAACGATTCCTGCTGGAGTAACGTTGTTCTAGCAGGAAAATTCTAACGAATGATCGGAAAGAGAAAAACTGTGTACGAGCAGATAGCTTATATTTGTTCTATTATGTGAGCTGAAAATGTGATTTGTGCGTCTTCAGGTTTTCGAGATATTGCATTTCCTGCTAGGGTAACGTTTTGCAGAATGCTCTATCTCAATAACCGTTATATGTGCGCCTATAGAATAAACACACACGAGTAGCTCTTGATTTGTGCGTATATGTGAAAGAAACATGTTTATGAAAATATTTATAAATATCAAGTAATCGAGCTTTCTTCAAAATCCGAAAAAATCGTGTAGCGCCTGAATAACAAAACATACAAGCTCACTGAAAACTGTATTCGATCCTTCTTAAGACGTATTATAACCATAGAAAGTTTCAAAAACGCACATTCATGGGTCATTGAATAATATCACTAAAAGTAATTACGACGGAGCTATAACTTTGACGTCAAAATACAAGGAATCAGCTACACCAAGATGAGCGGATGTTAACCGTATAATTAGAGCGTTTATTGAACAAATATAAAATAAAATATTCAGCTTGGAATGTATCGCTTAAAAAAAGATATGCATAACAATATCAAATTGTAAATACCGGCTGGTTATCCGACCAAATTCGAATGCATACAAAAAAGCGACGGATTCATACATATCGATGACCTTCCACATTGAGAGTATTAAACTTAAGCTGTTGTTAGTACAGTCGTGTTCAAATGTTTTAGGCAATTAATAAATATATAGTAATATTTTAGATCAGTCTTTCCCAAAGTGGGCGATAACGTCCCCTTGTGGACGCTGCAGGCTTAAAGGGGGGCGGTAAGAGACCCAGAAAAAAAATCGGGACGTTGTGTAGAAGCTTGGGAGGCGTCATCTACTAGGAGGACTCTTAGACACCGACTGAGCTCGACTCTTGACTACAAAAATGGGGGGCGCTAATAATATTTTATTCTCAAAGTGGGCAGTAGACTAAATAAGTTTGGGAACCGCTGTTTTAGATGGTTAAGGGGCCTTACTAGGGGAAAACGGCAATATTGGACCTCTTTTCTATTTTCTGTTACTTAAAGATATTTCGCACAGAAATTTGTCAAAATTCCACGTGGCCGCGAAGCCGCGGGCGGATAGCTAGTTTTTTATAAAAGCTCAAGACGACCGTGTTTTACAATAAACATTCCTAATAAAATCACAACGGACATCGCGGCATCGGTATTTACCTCTTCGATACAGTCAGGAGACTTTTAGATTTCAAGAAAACTTAAGCGCTCCTGCTCGCGACGCCGCCACCGCGTCGCCGCCGCGCCGCCGCCGCACCGTCGCCGCGCTAATATTTCTATTAACTTTCCGATAAAAATGTGAATGGCGCTTACGATGTTTAGTTTCGAGCTCGTTGATAGACACCCTTATTTTCCTGTGTACCCTTGGCTGTTCCCTTGATGGTACAGTGGAAAATAAATTTTAACCGCTGTACCCTCGACCGTAAAGATGGGTTCATGGTTACACGAGTTAGAGTAGGCGCACACCGTTGATTTTTCGTCGGCCGATAGTTTAGTCGGGCTGTTGATCAGTATGGGCATGTATGGGAGTGCGCACACTACGCCGATTCGATTTGGCCGATTCATCATACAATTTGAAATCGGGCACAACTATCGGCCAACTAAAAATCAACGGTGTGCGCCTACTCTTATGGATGACGAAGAATGACACGCTCGTTTTCATACTTTTCATTCTATTTAGGTATTTGACATGCGGTATCTATTATTTAAATCTATGTGCGGAAACGTCACGAAATCTGAATCTTCATTGACCGCCGAACCCCCTATAGTGAAAAATACAATTTGTGACCACATTGAAAAACCTTGTGTTGAATGCCTCACATTCGAGCGCGATAAGCCGCGCGCAATATTTTGTTGAGTCGCAAATACATCTCCTTACTAGCAAGGTGTCTTTCTCTCATCACCAGTCCTTTCATTCAAAATTCAACCTTAACGTACTCAACACCTTGCTATTGTGGAAATTGTTTTTTATTCTCTTAATTTTTCACAGATCATACATACCTACTGATAAACTCTATTTTTCTTTTTATGAATCTCTAATCAATTGTATAAATATTTTCTTCAAATTCGCATGAAACCACCCTTTTGATAATACCTATTCAACAAAAAAATAATCGTTCAAATTGATTTATAATCGGCGGAGATATTGCGTATAAAAAAGTTCATCCCCAATTTTCCACGCTTGGGGGTTGTTTTTTCTATTATTAAATTTAAATGGGACCACCCTTGAGGTATTACCTATACGCCGAAAAAAGATTTGTTCAAATCGATTCATAATTTGCGGAGTTATCGCGTAACAAACATAGAAAAAAAAAAAAAAATACGGGTCGAATTGAGAACCTCCTCCTTTTTTGAAGTCGGTTGAAAATAGAAAAGATACGGGTATTAACGCGACATATATGAATGAGTTAGATTATGAACTCACGGCTTGACGTTTCGGCTGCTATGCTGCAGCCGTGGTCACAAGCAGACTTGCAGCTCCGAAAAGCATCCAAAATGTCAAGCCATGAGTACATAATGTGACTCATTCATAAATGACGCGTGCCTTTTCTATTTTAGTTGAAATAGAACGCAAAACTTTAAAACCCTATCCAGTCACCAGAGTAAGGTATTTCAATAAGGTTCTCTCATACCCCAGTTGATCTACGCCTGTGTAATCTCGTAGAGATGCACTAACCACATATTGGTGACAATAATGGAAGGATTCCAGCCGTGGGAGCGCCGCGCCACGCCGGCTGCGTACGTGACGACATCTAGCGCACATCCCGCCACCTAGTGCGCCACCGCAGCCTACAGACTAGTTTAGTAAAGTACTATTGAGTACAGTTTGGTCCACAAATGTACCCATTTGGTACCCTATACATTGATGAAAGAACCGTGGCTCGACAGACTATTTAGTTTAGTACAGTAAGTACTATTGAGTACAGTCTAGTCTATAAATGTACCCACTAGGTACCCTATAAATTGATGAAAGAACCGTGGCTCGACAGACTAGTTAGTTTAGTACAGTACTATTTAGTACAGTCTGGTCTTCAAATGTACTCATTTGGTACCCTATACATTGATGAAAGAACCGTGGCTCAACAGACTAGTTTAGTACAGTACTATTGAGTACAGTCTTGTCTACAAATGTACCCATTTAGTACCCTACATTGATGAAATTACCCTGGCTCAAATGAAGAATAACTTTTTTACACGTTGACAAAAGTCTTCGGCTCAGAAGGAGTCGCGTGGCAAATCGAAATGACGTAGATACTAGTTTGATCTAAAGCAGTTATTGATTTCAAGTTAAAATAAGAACCTACAATGTTTTTAATGTATACTTACTAATGATTGTATGTATTAGATGATAATATTATTATGTATTAGAATGAAACATGATCGTTCAGTGTAAGTTTTAATTCAAACCCTACCTGTAATCAAAGTGAGAATTCTGAGACATTTTCGATTATATAAGAAGAAATGCTATTACAACATTAAAGTCTTGTATTAAAGAACATGCATATTTTCATTCTAAACCTACTCTCAATAAGGAAACATAGTACCCGACCGTAGAAACAGATTGTGGTTAACTTAAAGCCTATATCTTGGTAGCTTAAGCCAGTTTCTGACAAGTACGTTAAGTCCAGCATTCTATGACTACAGAAGCCTTACACGTACAAGTTTATCCGCGGACCGTTAGCGTCCATTTCGACATATCCTTGGTAGCCTTCGTGCGCGAGCGCAACACTCCGACGACGCAGTATAAACATCTAAATCAGTAAGATAAGTCTTATGTAGCTTAGGTAATTCCTAACCTTATCAGGGAAGTCATACGTTGACTTAATAAACCACTTTAAATGAAGAACTTCAAGTGAAGTAACAATCTGGGTTCACAAAAGTAGTTAGTTTTAAAAACCACACTGTTTATATTTTTAAAAAGTTTTTTAGCTAGAAAAAATATGTCATATTATGTCTCTATCATCTTTATTTAAACACATGGTGTTATTTAAAAGCCTTATGTTATCAGGTGTTGTTATTCCATTAATATCTTAAAGACTCGGTCGTCGTCCGTTTGGTGTAGTGGTTCAGAGAACGGATTACTATACCGTGAGGTCCCAGGTTCGGTTCCCGGCCGGGCAGAAATTGAAATGATGAATTGTATTTAATTATTTTTATATCCGTTGTCTAGTACCCATAGTACAAGCTTTGCTTAGTTTGGGACTAGGGGCGCAGTGTAAAATGTCCAAGGATATTTATTTATTTACTCGTACATGAATCAAATTTAGAGTCAAAGCAGCTTACTAGCGAAACCATATTTGCTCTTAATATAAAACGGCATACTCTGTGTCTACTTTTACTGTGGCTTCGGCGCAAACGCAACTTCTAAACTGCAGAAAGGAAACCACAAATCACTCCATTGATCTGATCTTTAGCCAACGCTGTACTTTATACTATTGATTCTCAGCAATTTCTTAGGAAAGCAAAAAACAGTAATCTAGAACAAAATAATGATAATAACTCTTCTCTATGGCGCTTTTGTAGCCGCACTCAAAGACTTCTAACGACGAGTCATTAGCGATAAATATTTAAATTGTCTTTACTGACTGTAGTAAATGCCTACCTCGTTTCAGCCAAATGACGTCCACTGCTGGACAAAGGCCTCCCCCAAGGTTTTCCACAATGAACGGTCCTGCGCTGCCCGCATCCAGGCTCTTCCCGCGACCTTTACCAGATCGTCGGTCCACCTAGTAGGAGGCCTGCCCACGCTACGTCTTCCAGCCCGTGGTCGCCACTCGAGAACTTTCCTGCCCCAACGGCCATCGTCTCTACGAGCTATGTGCCCCGCCCACTGCCACTTGATTTTAGCAATTCTGCGAGCTATGTCGGTTACTTTGGTTCTCCTTGCCTACCTACGCCTACCTACGGTAATGCAATGTATTTAAAAGATACGGCATTTAAAATGAAAAAATATGAAACTATATCAAGGATCACACTTATCTGATCGTTTGAACTATAAACGAAGCGAACCAATTTCATATATGTAGGTAAAAGTGCGTTGATGTCTTTTATACGTCAGCTCCTAATTAGTTTTAAAAAACGCTATTTTTACCTACCAATACCTAATAGTTAAATTAAAAATTCCAAAGTTCTCTGTATGTTTGTTTCTTATATTTGACCCATAATGGTGCTTTTTAAAAGCCTACTTGCAAAAATCGTTAATGCGCAAATTGTCAAATTCGCAATTGTCAAGCGGTCGCAATGTGCCAGATTCTCACTTTGTCAAATTCGCAAAATGTCAAATGCGCAAATTGTCTGTACGAGCACGATCGAGTTTTTGAAAACTTGACATTTTGCGAATTTGACAATTTGCGCATTTGACATTTTGCGAATTTGGCAATTTGACAAAGTGAGAATCTGGCACATTGCGACCGCTTGACAATTTGCGAATTTGACAATTTGCGCATAAAAGGGCAAAAAAACCTTCATTTTTTCGGTTTATTTGCTAAATATGTATAATTAGTACAATTTATTTCATTGATTATTAAAATTGAGGTGTCTACGGTTAAAACCAGTTAAATCGTTAAGTTTAAAGTGAAAATATCGACGGCTGCGCCCACGCACGCTAATAGGCGCCTTCCCGTCTGCCCGCCGTCTGGAGTTTTTCAGGCGCGCTTACTGGAAGCGATCCCTCCTAGCTACAATGTAAGCAACCAGCCGGCGAATACTACAAATTGTTAGACCGTAATAAAGTTATCTTAACGATACTCTCTGTGTAATAATTGGCATTCATGTATCTGGCCAGGTGGGGATTCTTGGATGGCTTGAACATGGAGTGCAGGTGCGGTTTTGTTCCCCAGTCGATGAGGCACCTGATGTCATGCCCTGAGTGCCCAAGCAACTGCACTCAGGAGGATTTGATGAGTGCTACTGACAACGCCACTCTTGTGGCGGAGTTTTGGGCTGACACTGTGTAGGTTTGTTGTCGACACGAAAAGAAGAAGAAGAATTGGCATTGAAAGACATAATTATTGACAAATAACCGAGATAAGACCCTTCTGTTACTAATTCCTTGAATTGGTTACTATGTTGAAGATATCAGATAGATAGAAATTTTTCTGCTCTTAGAAATAAATGTATGATCTCAAGATCTTAAGCTTAATTAATATTATGTAAAATGTTGCAATGCCCTCACAGGGCTCAGGTTCTGGGACTGTTTTATTTTTAAAACCTTGTTTGTACCATATGAAGAAATAAAGATATTATTATGATTATGATCACACATGGCGTTTTTACGTGAAACAAGGCGTAGCTATTCTAGTAATATTAGTATGCAATCGGCCAGCACCTACCTCGAAATAAAACCAATGCCCCCAGTGATTGTAAAGCCTATAAGCATACTCGGTGCGATACTTCGACGCCATTATACAAACTATATGCAATCGTTAATGCCGCGATGTGTGCCAGTGTGTCGCGCGCAAAAATGATCCATACGCGAGCTGGTAGCAATCATACGCGGCCGGACCATTTAGTTATTGACATAGATATGTGCTTTTTCGAAATCGCTTGAGAAAAAATGCGAAGCATGCGCGATGTGTTTTACATAAAGCAATACAGTTATGGCATGCAAATCAAGTGATTTTATCATCTACAAATATATTGCATGATTAAGATTTATGACTATGACATGACATGTTAATATCTACTGCTATTAAATATTGTAAAAGAACACTTACAAGATCTTTCAGCAATTGGTACACCAACCTGTAAAAAGAAAAAGAAGTTAAATAAACATTTTTCTCTCTAGTTTTACAACAACAATCATAAAACTGTTGTTTTAAAGCTTTAACCTTTTAACAGTTTCACTTTCGATTGATATTCAACGGCCGTTTAAAATATAATAACTATAAAAATAACAAGAAGATGGTAGTTTTAAAGTTCGTTTTATATTCCTACAGTTGTACATGTCTATTACTAGTAACACTTTTCTTCAACAAGAACTAACAATAATATTGTCAAAGATACGATATTGTTAAAAGAGTCTTCGCGTTCGTTCAAAATTCC